AGGGGAGGGGGAAGAGGGGAAGGGAAGGGGAGGGGGAGGGCGAGGTCGGGAAGAGAGCAGGATTTTTCAGGTTGATTAACGATGGCCTCAGTCATTGATCATGATAGAAAGGTTTTTCGATGTCGTCATACACATATTCCCCGTAGGAGCGCTGCCAGGTCTTCTACATGCAAAACACAACAGGCCATCTCATGATTCCCAGCCTATATACACTCCCCCCGACGACAAATCAAGGCTTTGTACATCTCATGAGCTGTGAGTCCCAAACCCAGCTTCAACTACAATCTTTCGTTCTTTCCTTTTATGTACTGTTTTTTTTTTTTTTTTTTTTTTTTTTCAACTCCGAGTGGGACGACAGTCAGGCAGCCTGCTGCCACCTGGAACTCGACTGCTCTTCTTTCACTTTTTCTGGTCTTTAAAAAAAAAAAAAGAGAGAAAAAGAAAAGTACTACAGAGAGAGGAAAAATACAGCCGACGCAATGATAACATTGATAAGATATTGTCCAAGTGATAGTGATATGATGATGGTGATGGGAAAGACGACAACGATGACCATACACGTGGCGATGATGGTGGTGACAGCAACAGCAAATGTCAGCAACAGTTGCCACGTGCCCGGGATTAAGCGTGTTTCCACAATTGAAGCTCAAAGAAAAAGAAAAAACAAAAAAAAAAAAGGCTTATCCCCGACTAGAGTAGAATCATGCGCCAGGTAGCATCGGGCCGAAGGATAGATGACACGTCGAGGGAACGAATCGGGAAACGACCCAGATAAAATTTCAAAACCGAAGAAAAAAGGAGGACACTAAGTAGCCGCCGCTGGCCGTGATGCCCTGCAGCCTTCAGAGGATTCTCGTTGATCCCCGCACGCAAACAGAATTGGCGCGCAGTGCCACATCCCCTGTGATTAGTGTTTGTTTAAGCAGACTGTGAGGGAATGACGACGAGAAGAAGGTCGTATAGCTTGCTGTTTTTGGTAGCATCAACGTTGTGCACTGTGCAGCGCCAGTCTTTCTTTTTTTTCCTCTTTTTTTTGTGCAGCGCCAGTCTCCAGCGACCTTAACTGCGAGCAGATCACGGCATCGTAGTGGATGTATGGCGTGCAAAGCACTTAGCTCGTACGTACATGCAATAGCTCGACATCAAACACAGAGAGAGAGAGAGAGAGAGAGAGAGAGAGAGAGAGAGAGAGAGAGAGAGA